GGTGGTGTTTTCTCTGCAGCGCTCCACGCCAGCGCGACGTGGCATGTGCGAGACGCGTCTCGTGACTGGTGGATGGCTGGAGGGAAAGGGCTGCTGCGAGTGAGAACAGCTTCGTTAATCAGTCCTGTCCACAAGCATTCCCCCAGCAACACGTGCTGTTCCCACTGGGCACCTTCTGGGCAGCAGGGAAAGGTTTGTTTTAATTCATTGCTGCTCTGCAGGGCTCGGTTACAGCTCGCTCTGTGCGAGTGCACTGATGGCACTGCAAGGAGAGAGGTTTTTCCCATAGCCTTGACTTCTCAGAAGGATGCAGAGGAGAGCATATCACCACGGTGGTGGTTGTGACATCACCAGCACGTAAGCAAGAAGTGGCTTTGGGAGTAGGGAAGCAAACCCAGAGAAGCCCCCATAGCCCGATGGACGGAGTCAGGTGGGTCCCACTGCTGGGAGCGGCTCCTCTGGATCCAGGGACAGCAAAGCTGGTCCTTGGTAGGCAGGAAGGATCAGAGTGGAACCAGTGAGAAAACATCAGCAGCAGGACCAGAGGGAGGCCCCTGAACCATTCCTGTTTGTGCCCTTCCTTGTCTGAAGGAGTTGGATTCGTGGTAAGAAGTGTGGATCTCTTTTATCATTATCAGTAACAATAACATCACGATCATAAAGAAGAACCACCAGTACCAATTACCCATTTGGCCTGTTTGTCTGCAGTAACTGGAGGGAGATGCCTGATTTACAAACAAGCCCCAAAGAATTCTGATTCTGTTCCCAAAACATAACACCAACAGGATGTCGTGAACAACAGGAGGAAACCCTATTGAGGTTGGACAGGACCACTGGCAGAATAGTAATCTCAAATATGGTATCTGGATTGTAAATCTGTTTTAATCTATCCTAATTATGCAAGGACTACAAAGCTGATTTGAAAACACTCATTAAGCAAAGAAGTTTTTTCTTTGAATACGGGAGTTTTTTGGTTTTATTCTTTCCAAGGTGTGTTTCCCTCCTTCCTCCAGACTGATTTCTGTGCTGTTCTCCATTAGGACTTGATACATTAATGCAATTCTGCAAAAGATAAGAGGCTTTTTTTGGCCCCAAAACTGTGATGGAGTTGGTAAAAACAGAGCTACCTTGAGAAGATAATGAGACATCAGCAATTAACTGATGTCCAAAAAGAGGAAAAATATGAAAACATAGGTCGAAAATTAGGCTACAATTTAAGGAATATTTTCTTAAGCAAAGAGGAGATATTTTAACTCACATCATTTCCTTAGTACAATTACTGCACATGTCTGTCAGTCAAATGTACCACTGGTGCAGGCTCATTTAATCAGCATCCACATAATAATAAATATTCATCCTAAAATTAAGTGGGGTTTGAAGAGACTGATCTACCTATCTTGCTGCCCAGAGTGAAGGCTATTTGATTAACAGAGCTAAGCTGTGCTGGCCACAGCACGCACAAGTATGTAAACTTCTGGTTTCCCACGCTTGCTTAGTGCAAGTGAGAAACGCTGGTGCAGGAATCTGGAACCCAGCACCAAACTAAGCAGCTGCCAGAGCACTCCTGCATGGAACATTTCAAGTTTAAAGGTGTCAGACTGCAAAGGATGAGCTCTCTGAGGGTCTGTGCAGTGATTCTGTAGTTCTGTGTCTATCAATACTCACACCTGGTTTTATTTAATAAATGGTAAGAGCAGCAACATTCTCAGTGGTTTCTGAAGAAGTGTGGGTGGTGTGTTCTATAGTTGTGTTGCCCAGTGGCATCTTCTCATCACGTACAGGGGAAGAAATCAGATTGTAAGGATACTTTGTACCCTCCTTAAAATAATCCAATAATGGCGTATTGTCTGATACAATCTAACAATCAGTAGTTTCTCATGCTATTGTCTAAGACATCCCATAATGACAATTCTGCTCCATTAAATCAAGCAATGGATTAATGTTCAAATACAGTTTTCCCTAAACTCTGTGCTCCAGGTGATTTTCCCATTTCTGCAGTTCATGTTTTTGCTCCTCTCCCCATCTTCCTGTGTCAGTACTAAATCCAGATATTATATCCTTACTGATGTGAATGAAAACGTGGGGACAGATCCTGTAATT